TCTGCCAAAATTGGAAGCAGCCGTGATGGCCTTCAGTCGGTGACTGAGTAAACAAACTGGGGTAGATCCATGTTGTTGTCAGTTGTGATCACGTGGGCTCCGATCGGGGCGCCCTCATGTGTAACGGAATGAAGTGTTGTCCTGTCCTGTGCCATCTTATGATCGTCAGTATGTGAGTCACTGTTGTAGCTACTGTGTCCGTCCATCTCATGGAGGGTTTTCCTTGTTTTTGCTGAACCTCTACTTTACCAAACTGGATGTCCTTTTGTAGCGATTGGTACAATGGATTATTATTGAGCGATAAAAAGAAGTGAGCTATCAGACCACAAAAAGACACAGAGAAACCTTATGCACTGTTGCCAAGTGAAAGCTACTTACTGTATGACCCAACTCTTGAGGATTCTGGAAAAGGCAAAACTGTAGTAAACAGATCAGTGGTGGCCCGGGGCTCAGGGGGAGGAGGGGGCAGGATTAGGTGGAGCCCAGGGCATTTTTAGGGCAGTGAAACTATATCCTGCACTATACTGTAATGGTGGACGCAAGACATGCATTTGTCAAAACTCACAGGACTGTACAGCACAGAGTGAATGCTCCTGTAAACTGTGGACTTAGGGTAATCATAATGTGTCAGTATTGGTCCATCCATTGTAACAAATGTACCAAATGCAAGATGTTATTAGTAGGAGAAACTGCAGGGGAAGAGGGGATATATGGGAGTGCTCTGGACTTTGTGCACAGTTTCTCTGTACACCTGAAACTGCTCTAAGAAAGTCTATTACAAACATAAATGCATACACAGACACCCTGCTGTCCTGAGGTCAGTGGGCGGAAAGCTGCTTGCTGGGTTCAGGCTGGCTGAGCATCAGACCCCAAGGTGAGCCCACTGCCCTCACATGGCTCTGTCACCCAGGTACTGCTGAACTTTTCATTCTCCTCCATTTGAACAGCCTCTGCACCAGCCTCTGGGCCAGTCTGCGCGTTTCCTCTTTCACTGGCATCCTGGTGTCTGATTCTGCTGCTGTCTCCGTGGGCGGAAGAGGGCGGCAGGAGAGACGAGGAGGCGTTAGGCCGGGAAGTCACACCGCCCAGGCTCACTGCAAATGCACGTGACCCTGAGCCTTGGCGCTCAGTTCGGAGGGGTGGGCACTGGTGGGAATGGGCACACGCAGCCCTGGGAGAGAGACGTCTTGCCGGGGTGCCATGTTTTCCCCGCTGGGGACTCACCTGCACCTGGGAGCACGGCCGGAGCCCTGGCAACCTTGGCCGAGTAGGAGGTGGTCACGGAAGCCTCATTTCACAGTCCTTGGGGCGTCTCCCTGGTCTAGTCCAATGACCATCAGAACTGGAAAGCATCCTAGAGACCGTTTCATCCAGTTCCTCTTTACATCATCAAGGCCAACGGGGAGAGTGATATTTCCACTAGTCCGTGACCTTCTCTTCTGGGTCCGGCGGCTTGTGAAATAACAGGTTGGCACACGAAATAAAGGGTGTATCATTCATCCATGAATGCGATGCTCTGTTAAACACACATGTATATGAGACTAAAATGGTCAACATTTGATCTAAAGCAAAGATGAGAATATCGAGGGCAGGGAAACTAGAGCACTGGAAACAGAACAACCAGAACCCAATTAAAGAGAATGTTGACACATTATGGAAAGTGTGACGAACGTCACTGAAGGATTTATGTAGAAATTGTCAAATGGGAACCTAATTTGCTGTGTAAATTTTCACCAGAAACACAATAAAATATTAAAAAATCACCCAGGCATCATTTCATTGTGCCGTGTGTGGGATCGCCATGCACCAGGGGCCGACTCCAAGGGAGCTGATGACCACAGCATCATTTTGTAAGGAAAATATACAAGGCTCTGTGGAACGGATTGTAAAATTAAAAGAAGCTACCACATGAATTTCATATATTCCTTCTAGCCCTGCAGTGGGGGAAGACAGTGGAGGTGGGAGGAGGGGTAGAGAGAGGAGAAGGGAGGAAAGTGAAGAGTCTGGAGGGGAAGGAGGGTGCGAGCTCACAGGCTGCCTTCCGTGGGGAAACAGCTCTCTCTGCTGAGCATTTTGATTATTACAGAGTTTGCCTGGGTTTCATAATGCAGGTGGTGTCTTATCTAGAATCTGACTCCAGCCTCTGCTGCCCCGGTCTGGGTGATAAAAGTGGGGTTTTATGTGCGTGGGTGTAGCTTGCAAGGATTATAGGAAGGAAGCAGGAGACCCCACAGGGGCCCGGTGTGCCCCCTCAGGGAGTGGGATGAAGGGGTGGCAAAGGGAAGGTGCTCAGAGGGGAGGACCTCGGAGCTGGAATTAATGGAACCCCAACAAAGGAGGAGGTGGGCTGAAGAAAGAGCAGACAGTAATTCCAAAGAGTCAGGGCGTTCATTCCGAGCAAGGTTGACAGGCTCCAGCCTTGTAGAATAACCAGATGCTAAGCCGGCTAACTGATATTGCCTTCAGTAAACTAGTTAAACCAGTTGCCTTCGAGTCGACTCCAACTCATGGTGACCCCATGGGTATCAGAGTAGAACTGTGGTCCGTAGAGTTTTCAGGGTCTGAGTTTTCAGCAGTAGATTGCCAGGCCTTTCTTCTGAGGCGCCTCTGGGTGAACTGGAACCACCAACCTTTTGGTAAGCAGCCAAGTGCATCAACCGTTTGCACCACCCAGGGATTCCCTTGCCTTAGATAGTTGGCAGATCTCAAGAAGGCAGATGGGGCGTTTACTTCCACAGCGCCTGCTTTTCTTTCCTTTTTGCTGGGTGAGTGGAAAATATGAACGACGTGAGGGTTCAGACCCTGTCATGGAAATCCGCTCAGCCCACCACTAGCCACAGAGCAGAAGCACAGGATCCGCGTCCCTCACGTGGGGCGCAGAGCCACCGCAGCCTTCGGCCTCTTTCAGGAGGCCCCCTCCCCAGGCTTCCAAGCTCTCAGCCCCGCCAGGCGGGTGCCCATTATGGAGAAGGGACTGCTGCAGGACCCCCATTGCCCTCGGGCCCCAGGAGGTCCCCACCAATGCCTCCTCCACCTCCTTCATCACCCTCGGGTCTCCAGGCTTTACCCAAGGTAAGCACCGTGCTTACCCTGCTTATCAGATCATCTGTAGTGAACAATTGCACTTTTTTTCTCGTCAGAGATTCTGCTTCTAGGTGTGGCTGGCATCTGTATCTCTCCCCAACCCCACAGCACCTTCCTGCAGAATCAAAGGCTCTTTTCACATTTAGAATCCCTGACGGGTGGATGACCCAGTAAGCAAGGTAAGCATGGGCTGACTTGTGCTTACTAATTATAGTGAACAGTTTCACGTGGGCTTCACCACATCTGGTGATAAAATCCAGATGTAGTGAAAGCCGTGTGAAATTGTTCCCTACCGGTTAGTAAGCAAGCACAAGTCAGCCTGTGCTTACCTTGTTAATTGGATAATCCGCCCCTGCGAGTCGCCTGTCTGCCTCCAGCCACAGTCCCGAGTCTTCTGCCAATGCTGGGCTGTGGCCTGTTGCTTTGTTTTTGCCATTTTCACCATTTTCCGGTGTGGAATTCAGTGGCGTTAATTACATTCACCGAGTTGTGCAGCCGCGACCACTGTCCATTTCCTAATCTTTTCCATGCCCCCTGACAGAAGCACAGGGCCCTTTCAGCAGTAAGGGCCCAACCCCCGGCCCAGCCCCTGCTAACCGGTCAACGACTTTGGTCTCTATGCGTTTGCCGATTCTGGAGAGTTGACATAAGGGGGTTCCTACAGTAGTGTCCTTTTGTGACATAATGTTGTCAGGGTTCATCCATGTCATACACGTATCAGGACTTCATTTCTCCTTATGACTGAGTGACCTTTCACTGTGTGTGCACAGCACGTTTTGTAATGTACCCATTCAGCTGTTGATGGACCTTTGGGCTGTCTCCACCTTTTGGCTGTTGTGAATAGTGCTGCAGTGAACTTTGGTGGTGTTGGGTGCCATGGAGTCGATCCCGACTCATGGCAACCCCATGTGACAGAGTGGAACTGCCCCACAGGGTTCTCTAGGCTGTCATCTCTGATGACGCAGGACTGGGCAGCGTTTCTTTTTGTTGTGCATAGGGTTGCTGTTAAGTCGGAACCGACTCAGTGGCACCTAACAACAACAGTCTTTATGGAAGCAGGTAGCCAGGTCTTTCTTCTGCAGAGCCGCTGGGTGGATTCAAACCACTGACCTTCCGGTTAGCAGCCGTGCCCTTCACCATTGCTCCACCAGGGCTCCTTGAATGTTGGTGTGCACGTTCCCAGCGTTTTAATGAAGCACCTTCGTCAAGATGCTTATCCTCGAGAGCCTTTGAATCGCCAAGTGGTGGTGCACTTACCACTGCTCCCCTGGGGAGGTGTGTTGGGTGCAGCAAAGCCAGCTGCATTTCAGTACATGGCAACCCCACGTGGTACAGAGTAGAGCTGCTCCATAGGTTTTCTTGGCTGTAATCTTTCTGGAAGCAGATCACTAGGCTTCTACAGTGCCACTGGGTGGATTCGAACCACCAGCCTTCAGGTTAGTAGTCAAGCATAAACCATCTGAGCCGCTCAGGGACAGCTGTTGAAACCCCTGTGGGGCACGGTTCTACTCTAACACGTGTGGGGGTGCCATGAGTCAGACAGCCACTGGCTCCGTCACATGCAGGTGCACACCCACAAAATAAAACCCAAACCCACTGCTGTGGAGTCATTTCCAACTCACAGCAACCCCATAGGACCGGGTGGAACGGCCCCATAAGGATTCCAAGGCTGTAATCTTTACAGAAGCAGACTGCCACATCTTCCTCCCGTGGAGCAGCTGGTGGCTTCCAACTGCCCTGGCCCTTTGGTTAGCCACCAGGGCTCCTTCCATACAATCACGGGCCTCGCGTTTCCCTCTCTGCCCCTCTGTCCCCGTCCACGCACCCGCAGCCACGTGCACCCCGCTGGGTGCCTGTGAAGTAACTGGAGCCCCCGTAGGTCCTTGACACCACCTGGCCTGTCTCCCTCGCTGCAGGTTTCTCCCACTCGGCCTTCACGTTCGGAATTGAGAGCCACATCAGCCAGTCCAACATCAACGGGACGTTAGTGCCGCCAGCTGCTCTCATCTCCATCCTCCAGAAGGGCCTGCAGTATGTGGAGGCCGAGATCAGCATCAACGAGGTATGTCCCCCCCAGGGCCCGGAGCCCGCAGGTGGCACGGCAGGCGGGATCGTATTGTGACCTGCCGTTGAGTCCGCTCCAGATCGTGGCAACCTGTGTGTAACAGAACGAACAGTGCCTGGTCCTGCGCCATCTTCATGATCGTTGCTGGGTTTGAGCCCATTGTTGGGGTCATTGTGTCAGTCCCTCTCACGGAGGTTCCCCTGTTTCCACTGACCCTCTGCTTTACCAAACATAATGTCCTTCTCCAGCGATCGGTTCCTGTTGACAAGTCTGAAGCAAGTAAGGTCTGAAATAATAGTACCTCCACAGTACCAGTAGTTAACAATTGTAGAGCGTTTAGAAATGTTCTTCACGTACATTTTAATTGATCCTCATAGAAACAGCATTAAGTTCTTACTAAATTACTGTTGTTAGCTGCCATTGGGCCGACTCCGACTCACGGCCCCTAACGTGTGACAGAACATTGCCCAGTCCAGGCCTGTGATGGTACTCCTGAAAACAGGCCTGAGTCCCACCTGCATTTTCCCAAAGGGACTCGAGAATAAGTTGGGCATTTTGTTTTTTCATTTTAACTTTGTGTCAGACTTTATCCAGTTTAGGGGCGACTGTGTCTGCACACAAGTAGTGAGGCGTCGATGCCTTTTCCACATCGATGTTCTCCATATAAACGCAAAGAGGCTGTTGACGGATGTAAACGCTGTGTTCTCGTATCTAAAAAACACAGAGCGGATTTTCAGAGGCTCGGTATTTCAGAGTTCATCTTGTACACCTGTGGGAGAGGCTTGCTGTCTTCCTTCTCGTTCTCTCTGAGCGAGGGGGGTTAGAAAGCGACCCCCAAACACGTTCAAGTAGAATCTGTGTCTCTAGGGCCTCTGACAGTGGGCATGCTCAGAGAATCAGAAAGGGAGATACCAGCCATTGTGGGAAAAACGACTTCAAGGCTGATGGGGGAATGGCGCCATTGTTACTAATCAGAATCACACCAGTATACATGTGTGCCTTCCCCCTTTTCAGGTTGGAACACAAGGAGTGGTTGAGTTGCTTTTGAAAATCAGTTATTTTGCTTGAAAGCAGCTTCTCCTCACCCTCCCTGGCGCCTCCTCTGTGTGCAGGGGTGTCAGGCAGACGGATCACCAGACATGCTGCCGTTCGCATGTCTTTGTCTCAGTACCTGTCATTAATCTGCACTTCCCACTCTATCCTCCGGCCCCTTCTCTCTCCTCCTCTCTTCCAGGGTCCATAATCGGCCCCAGACGTGTCTGCACCCTCCTGTCCCGACCCTCCCCACAGCTGACACTGCCCAGTGCCCTCTGTCCATACCTGACCACGGAAGTCCAGCTGTGTCTATATCCTCCTGTCCTGACCCTCCCCACAGCTGACACTGCCCAGTGCCCTCTGTCCACTCCTGACCACGAAAGTCCAGCTGTGTCTGTACCCTCCTGTCCTGACCCTCCCCACAGCTGACACTGCCCAGCGCCCTCTGTCCATACCTGACCATGGAAGTCCAGCTGTGTCTGTATCCTCCTGTCCTGACCCTCCCCACAGCTGACACTGCCCAGCACCCTCTGTCCACTCCTGACCACGGAAGTCCAGCTGTGTCTGTACCCTCCTGTCCTGACCCTCCCCGCAGCTGACGCTGCCCAGCGCCCTCTGTCCATACCTGACCGTGGAAGTCTAGCCGTGTCTGTACCTTCCTGTCGTGACCCTCCCCACAGCTGACACTGCCCAGCGCCCTCTGTCCACTCCTGACCATGGAAGTCCAGCCGTGTCTGTACCCTCTTGTTCTGGCCCTCCCCACAGCTGACACTGCCCAGCGCCCTCTGTCCACTCCTGACCATGGAAGTCCAGCCGTGTCTGTACCTTCCTGTCCTGACCCTCCCCACAGCTGACACTGCCCAGCGTCCTCTGTCCACTCCTGACCATGGAAGTCCAGCCGTGTCTCTACCCTCTTGTTCTGGCCCTCCCCACAGCTGACACTGCCCAGCGCCCTCTGTCCACTCCTGACCACGGAAGTCCAGCTGTGTCTGTACCCTCCTGTCCTGACCCGCCCCCACAGCTGACACTGCGCAGCACCTTCTGTCCACTCCTGGCCATGGAAGTCTGAGGCCACCGGCTCTTTAAGCATCTCCCAGCGCACTGCCGTCCTCCTTGAATCGTTCCGGTTTTCCCCACTCTGACTTCCTCTGAGCTGGTCCTGTCTGCACCAGCCTTCTTTTTCCAGGGCAGTTATTCCACTTCCCCTTTCGCTTTTAGAAAACTCCTAATTTCTTAACAGCCTTCGTGGAGTTGACTCCAGCTCATGGCGACCCCATGTGTGTCAGAGGAGAACTGTGCTCCATAGGGTTTTCAGTGGCTGAATTTTCCAAAGATTGCCAGGCCTTTCTTCCTACGTGCCTCTGGGTAGACTCAATCTGCCAACCTTTCAGTTATCAGCCAAACACAGGTACCATTTGCCTCACCCAGGGACTCAAAAAAAGAAGACAGAAAATCTAAAAACAACTTTCTATTTTCTGCCCCTGGGTTTGCTCTGTCATTCACGAACCCACGTCTTTTTAAACACCCTGTTTCCGCCTGCCCCATGCGCTTTCCTCCTGTCAGCTCCCGTTTCCTCTTTCTTTCCCTCAGCGTGGATGCCGGGGTCTTCCACCTCCTCCCTCAGGTCCTGTCTGGTCTCTATCCACGTGAGGAGAAGAGCCCACAGCTCCTCACACCCGCCAACGCTCACTTCCCCAGATGCACATCTCCAGATGCCAACATGCCATTTCCCTCCCTCCCTACAGGTTCCTTCTCTCCTCTGTCAGACGCCCTCAGCTCAGATCCCATGATGTCCAGATGCCAAGGAGGGACCATCTTGTTAGTCACTCAGGTTTCCATTAGCTGCAAGGTGACACAGTGCTGCCGGAGTTTAAGCCCAGAGATGTTTTTCTTAATTTGGGCAGCTCTACCTTTTTCTGACGCGGTCACTCAATTGGGGTATGAGTGCCCAAAGGAGGAACATGTGTGGCGGCCAGCTGACCTGTTGGTCACCACTGCTCACTCTGCAGCTGGGATCGAGGTGGGAGGGCGACTGAGGAGCTGATCGGCTGTCTCCTTGCAAGTTGTGTATTATCTTATGTTGTTACCTCAGATACGGAATCGTAACCGGAAATCAGCCCAGATGATGTTTCAGTTAGATCCCATTCAGCTGAAAGTCCCATTGGTCTAATTCTTTTGAATGTTTGGAGGCAATTCCAGTTCAGAACAAACGAGAACATGCTTACACGCCTGCCAGAAACAACCCTGAGGGGCCGAGTGTCATGTGACTCCTAGAGTTGGAGTGCTCCATCAAGAAAGAACTGTCTCCTGTGCTTATGCGTGTGTGTGGGGGCCGGGGGAGGATTGTTAAATTGTAGATGTAAACCAGAGAGTCAAAGGAAGTGTAAAAAACACGAAGCCGACCTCAGCGAGGTTGTTGTCTTTTGTACCGTGGCTGTATTTACTGTTCACCGTAAACCCAAGAGGTGATTTCAGATCGTAACAAATGTCCTAGCAGTCCAGTCCTGAATGGTCCAGGAATCTAATTTGGGCTTGATGTTTTCAAAGAGTTACTTCTTCCACACAAAAGGCTAGTTATTTACAGAGATTCTCCACAGTTGTCATAGAGTCCCTTGGCACCATTGACATTTGGGGCCAGATCATTCTCTGTGGTGGGGGCTGTCTTGTGCACTGTATGATATTTCATAGCATCCCTGGCCTCCATCCATGGGATGCCAGTAGCACCTCAACCCCGTTGTGACAACCAGAAATGTCTCCTCCAGTCATCACTCAGTGTCCCCTGGGAGCATCAGCCCTGGTTGAGAACTCCTCCGTCAAGGATGGCACTCTTTGTCATGGAATAAAGTTGACATTTCCAGCCGCTCTTAATCTGTGTGCTGACGTTTTCTTTGTTCTTCTTACTCTCTTGTGTTGAGTTACTTTTGTTTGTGGATTTTTTTTTCATTTCTTTTGTTTTTGTAGGTTTTGTTTTCGCTGAGACGTTATGTTTTTCCTCTTTATTTTTATGTTTGTTAACTTTCTTTGTGGTT